AATGAATAAAATAGAGGTAGCATTATTTTGGTATCACTAGATGCCTTGTAATGGCAACCTTTATGGTCATGCATGTTTTATTCTCTCTTTGTTATGTTTTCCAGAGGGATAACCAATTGGCTGATAGAGTAACAAATGAAAAGTAACTTGACTCCATTGACCTGCTTAACTCCGTATGGGAACGATGGAAAGGAGCAACTGTTTGCTTTGAAACAGTGGAATAGGTATGGAACAGCTCCTTTCGGTTCTGCCTTCCTTTATTTCTTTGCACAGCTATTTTCAGACCAGTTAAAAACATCACGTTGTTCCTGATTGAGAACACAGAATCGGAGTTATAGGAACAGGTACTGTGCGTATGGTAACATTTCTGAGTTGTGTGTCTTGAGGTTGCTGTTTATATAAGTACTAGTGCAATTAAGAGAGAATTATTTTTCAATAGTAAATAAGTAATCATGCTAGAAATAATTATTATTTTAAAACAGAATTAGCAGTTTGAATGTGTGGTTAGCTTTAATAAGATACACAATTTGAATAAAGAGATTTTGCTCCAATAAATAGAGTCTTATGGAGGAATTAAGGAATTAATAACAGAATAGTAGAGCATGTTGGTTTCCCCAATCCAAGCCATCAAAAGTGTTTTTGCTGTGTTTAATGATTATCTCTCCTGACCATTTTTCCTTTTCTCAATTATGAAGGGATCCTGCTAAGAAAAGCATTGTTTGAGTTTTTTTCCACTTTTCAGAATTCACATAATAGATATAGATGAAACTTCTTTTACTTTGAAAGGAACATTTCAAGTGAACATAAAGAATTTAGAACAGCATTCGTAGAGCCTTTAAAATATGCACTTATCTTTAATCAGATACCTATCATCATCAGTGTGCTGAATCTTCTTTCAATTATACCTATAAGGGACAAGGTAGCCATATATGGTTTGGTAGTGACGATATAGTAATCAATGCTTTAAGAAATTATGATATTAATGAATTGTAATGCAGCTATAACTTATTTAAGTCCAGAAGATTAAGTATCAAGTACTGGATGGTCAAGATTAAATTAATAACTGCATGACAACATTTTTTACTTCATTGGATAGCTTACAGATGAGAGACTATGAATAAATAATAATGATTTGAATTTTGCATAGGAATATTAGAATTCAAAGGCTACAGAAAAAGAATTCATAAAATTATATTTTATATAAGGAGTTAAATAAGGATATGATTCCATCACTTAAGGTTATTTAAGGAGAGCTTTTAGGGAATGTTTTCACTATTATTCTATAGTTTGTATGTTCTCAGAGCATAATATATTTTTACACATTAAAACAACTAAGGTTTTCAATGCATTACTCTATTGAATTTGAAACTAAATGTTGTCTATATCAATAATATATGAAGAGTCTGGTTTCTAGCTCAGCAAGGAAACAGAAAAAGAGGTTGTTGCTGTTGGATGTGCAGAGAGCAACCTTGCAGTCTTTTTGGTTGCTTTATGTTTCAGTTTGTAGTTAGCCAACCACTAACCACACTGACCAACTTTAATTAAAGACATTTATCTGCTTGAAAGGAAATCTTTGGGGAATAAGCTAAAGAAGGTGATACATAGAATAAAAAATTTCCAAACTCTCTATAACAACCCATTCTGAATATTATTCAACCCACATCACAGAGAAAATCAGCTATCATATTTCACTTAGGTACAGATTTCAATGTCATTAGATTTACAATTGAAGAGATGACTTGAAAAAAAATTCATAAACCAAAGGAATAGCCAGCTATGATGTCTTTGCTAGTGTGAGTTTCCATGTATGAAATTATTTGAGAGATGCAATCTGCCGTCCTTTTTTCCATTGGGAAGAGGAGTGCATAGAGGGATGTCCATTAAACAAGGAAGGATAAAACCCAGGCTGTTTCCAGTACTATACTCCGGAAATGGTAGTCCCTAACTGACCTCATCTCTGTTGTTCCACACCTGAAATAACTTTGAAGGAGGCAGCCTTAGGGGAAAAAAAATGTTCCAGTCAAACTGTCAAAATGTCTCTCTTCTTTCAACCTTCAAACCAGAAAATCTTCTTTCATTTAATTACCCAACAGGCATTTATTGCATACCTAATAAGTGCCAGGCACAATGCTAGAACTCAAAGCTGAATCCCTGTCCTCCAGAAGATTCCTTCTTGTTCAGTTTGCCCTCTATACACAGTACTAATTTAACCATGAACATTAGTTTTATTATTGGCTTTCAGTTTTGCACCCCATATTAATTTGCAATCTCCCTAAAGACCAGGCCTGCACTGCAGATTTTGAAAAGTAAGTAACTGAATTGTCTGCTGTGGGTGTTAACATAATATGTTTAGCAGATTATCTTCAATACTATGTACATCTTTTTCCTGGATTAGTGACAGCAATACCCAAATATGACAGAATCAAAGCTGGTCATGGAGTAGGATGCTTTCAGAGTGAAGATTGGGTATGTCTGTGCCTTGTTAAAATTGATTTTAGGACTATCAGTTGATTTTTGGGAACCCTGACATATGTCTTATCTCATGATACAGATGAAGAGTGAATACATTTTCCCCTCAAATTACGACTTCCTTTTGAATGTTGAATAGGGAGAAAAATAGATAAAGCAAAGCTTACTATTTGCAATACTTTTCTTCTTAGTGCTCTTGACTAGCTATCTATATTTTCTTTATGGAGGCATGTTGACCCAAATTTATCTCTGCTCCTTTAAAAAAAAAAGTATTTTTATTGATTTCAAAGAGGAAAAGAGAGGGAGAAGAGAAACATTTATGATGAGAGAGAGTCATTGATCAGCACACCCCACACTGGAGATTGAGCCGGCAACCCGGGCATGCACCCCCTACTGGGAATCATTGCTCTTTTTATCCATACTAGTAATGTCTACCCAATACATCTGAATCTGTTTGGTTTGAATATCTTAATATACACTTGTAATTTCCCCTAAAGTATTCATCCCCAAGTATCTAGAAGTCACATTCAATTTAAAGGAAGAGTATGGTATGTGCATTGATTTAAGAAAAAAACAAAAAAAAAACACTACAATTATCCTGGTAAATTTTATGTTATATTTTACCAGAAAAATAAAACAACAGCAACAGAAAAACACACACACATAAAAACTACTTAGATTGTCTGCTCCTCTGACTATAAGTTCCTTGAAAATCATCATTCATATCTTGGCTTTAGGCCTTGTGTAGCAAGTGTTACCAGTGAATGAATGTGAACAAATGACTATAGCAGGGCCCAGAATGTGGTGTCAGAGATGTGGAGACACTCATACTCAACTTAGGGAATCTATAGAAATAGTTTTGGCAGCAGCAGAGCCCAACGGATATATCCCAGTGTCAGGTGGGCTTGGTGGGAGCCAATTTTCCAGCTCTGCTCCCAGCAGGCTAATGACCAAACCAACACAAGCAAGAGCAGAGCTTTCCCAATGTTGCCTGGTGGATCAGGATGGTTTTAGAGGCCTGAGATGCCAGACTCAGTGAACATTGTACAGTGAGTGGTATTAAGTACAATCACTATGATTTTTAACCATCATCACTGTATTTTTCCAGAACGTTTAAATTATCCCCCCCCCCTCAAAAAAACAACAACAAACAAACCAAAAAACTCAGTATCTACTAAGCAATAATTCCCCATTCCCACTCCTCTTCAGCCCCTGGTAAACTCTATTTTACTTTCTGTCTCTATGAATTTGCCTGTTCAAGTTACCTCATATAAGAGGAACCATACGATATTTGTTCTTTTGTGACTGATTTAGCATATTTCACTTAGCATAATGTCCAAGGTTCATCCATAATGTAGCATGTGTCATAATTCCACTTCTTTTTATCATAGAAAAACATCCCATTGAATGTATCCACCACATTTTCATTAATCTCATTATGAACATTTGGATTGTTTCCACCTTTTAGCTTTTATGAATAATTCTGCAATGAACAATGGTGTTCATTTTCGTTTAATATATTAATTGTATTTAGGCTCATTTTTTATCTTTATTTTTAGTAGTTTCCAATTTTTCAATAATAAGTAAATTGCTTACAGATAGGGAAAGTCATATAGCTGGGTCATGGCAAGGCCAACATTCCAACCCAGAGGGTCTGACTACAGTGCACTCTCTGATTTATACACTGTGCCACGTTTAATAAAAATATTCAATTTTCCTTTGAACCTACTATATTCTGGGTATATCAAATGCATTATTTCCAAATCCTTAAGATATCTGTATGATGTATTTTTTATCCTTACATTAGGAGAAGTCACTAAGGCTTGGAGAGGTTAAGTGGTGGATGCAGGAATACCCCTAGTGTGCTTGCTACTCTGCCTGACCCTTCCTAGAGCCAGAACATAGCAGAAAATGGTTCCTTGGGACTTGGGATAGCACAACTCTTTCTGGATAGACTTCAGGGAAAGGAGCTATCTCGGGCAGAACCCATGAGCACTGTGGGGCTTCTGGTATCACATAGCTGCCCAGCAGTTCTACCCTGGCTCCCAGATAAGGCCAGGATTTTTTTCTTTAATACTTACTTTTTGTAAACTCTTGCCCTATGTTAGGCCAATAGGTCAAGGCAAAATGGATGATTATTTCCATTTTTTGCTATCTTTGGAAAGCAGACAAAGAAGGAGTTCTACAAATTCTATAGATTTATTAAAAAAGAAATATACACATGCCAGACCTATGAGGATTGTTTCTCAATAATTCTGAATTAGTTGAATACTTATATAACATCTTGCTTCTATTTTGCCATATGGACAAAGCCATATTCCATTTGCATAGCTGCCTGTAGCTTTTCATACTGACTTAAGTTCTCCTTATGGCAATCCTAACCCTTTAATACCCTCATTTTGCAGCTGGTATAAAAATGTACTTCAGGTTGTCATTTTGCAAAAGGTCAGAAATGAACTATCTTTCTTTTAGGATCCAGTATGCATAACCTTCATGGCTATTTCCCCCTTTTGGTTTTACAGCTGGAGAAAATGGCATGTAACGTCCCTAACCAAAGACAGCGGGCTATGTCAACCTCTGGAGAAGCTCTATATGAAATTCTTGGTCTGCAGAAGGGAGCATCAAATGAAGAAATTAAGAAAACCTACAGGTACAGAGGCAGTTCAATGATGACATTTTCTATACTACTAGAGATAGTTATTTTGTGATTGGCAAGGGCCTTCAATTAAAGATACTTGCTCTCTCCTAAGACCAGGTAATCTCAGTTTGGAAGCTCATGTTCCCTGTTCCATAAACACAGGCAGTTAGAAATAGAGAGGCAGACATTGATTTTATGGAAGAACTATCTCATGATGCTGGGCCTTAGGAAAGGGCAGCCTATGTTCTAAGCCTACAATGAGAGAGGTAGGGGTGAAAGAGGTAGGGGTGAAAGAAGCGGGGTAGGGGTTAGAGAGGGAAAGAGAGAAGTAGGAGGAGGAAGAGGAAGAGGAGGAAGAGGAAGAAGCGGAAGAAGAAGAGGAGGAGGAGGGGGAGGAGGAGGAAGAGAAGGAGAGATGGAGAGAGAGATTTCACTGTGAATGAATAGGAGTTGTGATTAGGCCCATAACCCATATAATATCGTTTCAACAAATCTTTTTTTTTTTTTTAAGGGGGGGTTTATTGTTGTATTGTATGCTATACTTTTTAACTCTTCAGTTTTGATCTTCCATATCTGATCTAGTTTCAGGTTAGCTATTTTGGGGAACATTTGAAATACCTTTTTATTTAAACCTCTAAGAATTTTTTAAAAAAAGGATTGAGTACAAAAATAATTTACTTATTATAGAAAAATTGGAAACTACTAAAAATAAAAATAACATATATCCATAATTCTATCTCTAATGATAATTATCATTGATATTTTTTCCTTCTAGTCTTTTTTTTCTGTTTAGATATTTTAAACTTAAGTTGGATTAATCTATATTCTTTTTCACTTTAACAAGGTCCTATCATAAAATTATACTGGTGTTATTAAATATTTTGATTTTTAATTATAAGGATATTCTCTAATTACTTTGCTAGCTATTTTTAAAAACATGTAGTACATTCTTTTAATTTTTCCCTAGAGTTAATTTCCTTGTACATAAAACATGATGTACATTTTCAATTATGTCCTTATTTATTGAGGAATAAAGTTGTGCCGTTAAAAAGAAAAATTAACCAGAATATAAATGAAAATTCATTTTTAGTCAGTTACTTCTTATTTGACCTTGAATTAGGTTTTTAAAACTTATGGTTTTTGGTTGTTGTTTTTGTTTTGTTTTGCTTTTTGTTTTTTTTTAGTATGTAAGTTTAGAATTTTTAAGTAGATAAATTTTTAGTCATTTACTGTATGGATTTTATTTTATTTGTCATGGCTAAAATCCTTCCCAATTACAATATTATAAGAATGCTAGAGATCTGGTGCATGAAATTTGTGCATGGGTAGGGTCCCTAGGTCTGGCCAACGATCAGGGCTGATCAAACCTTCCTTCCCCTGGCTGCCCTGGCCTTCCTTAGTTCTGCGCCACCTCCTGGTGGTTTGCACATCATAGTGGATGGTTGAACTTCCGAGGGGACAATTTGCAAATTAGCCTTTTATTATATAGGATTAACTCATTTCTTCTAGTACATTTATGATTTTATATTTTTTATATTAAATCTTTGGTCAATTTAGAGTTTAACATGAGGAATGAAGTCACTAGCCCACCAAATTTTATTGAATTTCCTATTTTTATCTATTGATGGAAAAATTATTTAGCTTTGCATTGGAACCTTCATTATATAGTAAACTGTAGGACCCAAAAGGCCTTCAAGGAGCATGTGTTGAAGAATAAGTGGCATTGGAGGACATTGCCATTTGAATCCAAACAGTTTTGTAAAAATGGTAAAGTTTGATTAAAGTCAGTATCAATTTTCCAGTTTATATTTTATTTAAGGTAGTGGGGAAAGAATCTTTGCCATTTTATTGTGTCCTAGAGTTATCCAGGTGTGTTCTGGGAGCTGTTCAGCCCTATGCCTGGATATCCTTGGATGAGGGTCACTAAAATTGACTTTTAAGGCTTTGGTGCTGAGGCATTGTGCTAGGGTTGGGAGTTGGGAATTAAAGTAATTGTATAATTAGCTTAATATCTACAAAGATTCTCTCCAAATTAAGAAAAAAAAGTAATGTCTAACTAACTATCTTGTAAGTTTTAAAATCCACTTTACAAATGTGACTTTTAATTGCCTTTATTAATTTTGTAAACTAAAATTTCAGGTCATATCCTAATTAAGGCACTAATGTATGCTGAGCTGTTTGCAAGTTTAATAATTACAACCTAAAGTCTTTTCATGTAGTCAACATCTTCCTATTAATTTTGTTTTAATGTCATACAAATATTATTTTTTCAGCTGATTAGGGTACTAGCATGCTGCCAAAAGCATCTGCTTCTATCTAAATTACACATTTGTATTCTGGAAGTTATTCAAAGTGTATGAGCAGGCTGAAAAACTACTCATAATATCATTGTTATATTCAAGGATCTGAATTAAAGCAGTCAAAATGTAGTGAAATTAAGAGTCAGTGAAATTTAATAAAATTACCAACTGTTGAATCCATGCGCTGCTTGACCTCTGTTGTAATCCTTGGTTGTGCTCTTGAAAACAAGGCTGAGTTAGAAGACATTTTTTTTCTTCATTTACATTTTATTTTTATATTTTAATAGATAATATAATCACCTGATTAAAATGAGATAAAACAAATAGGTATATAAGAAAAAATTTCCCCCATACATCACATCTCCAAGTTCTCTCTTGGGGGAAAGCAATTCCTTGTGTACCCTTCTAGAGAGATCATCTACCTAAATAAGCATATATCCAGACTTTCTCATCTGGGCAAGACAGTACAGGTTTTCTCTCTCTGATCCTCCCTGTTAAGCATGATTAAAAAGTCTTAAAAATAATGCAAGAGATAAGTAAAAGAGAACTCTAAAAGATATGAGAAAATGAATTGGTTAGGGACCACAATCTAGAAACTGCATGTTTAATCCAAAGTAGCTGCCCATTAAAATAAAAATATACAAATAGGAATCAGAGCCTCTTAATACAACAGTCAAAATGCCCACATAAATATCATTCATTGTACCAAGAACCAAGAAAATCACAAATTACATGAGAAAAAAATAATCATCTGACTTCCACACTGAGATGAACCAGATATTGGATTTATCTGCTAAGTATTTTAAAGTAATTATAATAAAAAAGATTCAGCAAGCAATTACAAATTCTCCTGAAACAAATGAAGAAAAAAAAATAGAAGTTAACCAAAGAAATAGAAATTATAAAAAAAGAACCAAGTGGAAATTATAGAACTGAAAAATAGCAGAAATGCTCCAACAAACTCAAAGAGCTCTGTAGTAGAGGGAGCTGACTGAGGATAGAATCAGCAATGTTGAGGACAGATAGGTGGAACTTAGCCAGCCTGAACAACAGAGAGAAAATAAACTGAAAATAAAGAACAGAGTCTAGGGAACCTGTACAGCTATAACAAAAGATCCAACATGTATAGTATTAGAGTCCTAAAAGGGAAAGAAAAAGAATGGGATCAAAAGAGTGTTCAGAGAAATAATGACTAAAAATTCCCCAAGCTTAGCAAAATCTATAAACCTACAGATCAAGAAGCTGAGTGAACCATAAATAGGATAAATCTAGAGAAATCCATGCCAAGACACATCATAATTATACTTCTGAAAACCAAAGACAAAGAAAATACCTCAAAAGCAGACAGAGAAATAACACATTATTTATGAGGGAACATCAATTCAAATGACAGCAGATTTTTCATCTGAAACAACAGAGGCCAAAAAGAAGTGACACAACATTTTTCAAGTGTTAAAAATAAAGAGCTGTCAACTATGAATTCCGTATTTGGTGATACTATACTTCAGAAATTAAGGGAAAATAAAAGTATTTTCAGATAAAGAAAGAAAATGATAAAGAAAGGAATCTTGGATCATCAGGAAGAGAGAAAGGAAAATGAAGAATGCAGAAATATGGGTAAATAAAATAGATTATCTTCCTCATGAGTTTTCTAAATTACATATGATGATTAGTATAAAAATTATAATTATAACATTATCTGATACTCAAGACAATTATATCTAAAATTGAGGAGGATAATGGGACCCAGATGGGAGTCGAGTTTCTGTACTTTCCTCAAGTTGGTAAAATAACATCAGTAGAATATCAGTAGACTGTGATATATATACATACAAAAATTTTATTCAAGTAAGCCACAGGAAGACAAGAAAAGGGAAATGGAGGAGTGAGAAACAGAGGGCACAAACAGAAAACAAATAATAAAATGATAGACGTAAGCCCTGACATAATAAGTATATTAAAGGTAAGTGGTCTAAGCATATATTATATTTTCCTTCCTTATTATACAAATGGTGGTGTACTATAACTCCTATCCTGTACTTAGCATTGTTATCTTAACAATATACCTTGGAGATCATTTTCAGGAATGATAAGTTCATTAAAAGTTTCATTCTTTTCATATTGCAGCATTATGTACCATAACAAAGATGTCCTGTGATTTAATCAGTTCCCTGTTGATAAATATTTAGGTTGTTTTAAAATCAAGACTTCCTTTTAAAACCAACTTAGAGCTTCTCAGGAAAACCCCATGGTCCCAGAAAAGTAGATAGAGATGGGGAGAGGGAAACTATCTTTATTCTGCCCACTTTCCAGTTTTTGCTATGTCCCTGTTCCAAATTCCTGGAGCAAGGATCTATAGACCCAGCTGGGTCAGACGCTCAGCCAAGTCCAGCTGGCTCTGACTAGAGCTCTGGAATCACAAATACCCAACTACCTTCACAAAGATGTAGGATCCAACTCTGTGGGAAGAAGAAGGGGCAATGTTCTCTAAGCGTGGGTATAGAGTTGGGAAGGAAATTACCATTATTTCTAGTTCTTTGTTCCCTTAAACATTCACATAAATAGCAGCCTCATAGACCTAGCTCAGCCCCTTCTTATGTTTATTTATAAGTCTTTATCATAAAATCTTTCTCTGAGTAAAGCATCTATTTTTCATATGTCATCTTTTTTGCTATAATAGTATAACCATGTTTAATTTGTTAGCTGATAAAT